GTGGGAGAGGGAGAAGCAGGCCTCCCACTGAGCGGGGATCCCGATGCGGGGCTCGATCCCAGGACCCTGGGATCATGACCTGGGCCAAAGGCAGACGCTTAACGACTGAGCCACCCGGGCGCCCCTCTGAGTAAGCATTTTAGATGTATTAACTTATTCAATCCACCCTATCAACTCTGTCAACTCTAACCTTATCATCCACATTTTACAGATAAGGAAACTGAGCCATCGAGATGTCAACTTGCCCAAGATCACACAGCTAGGAAGAGGCAGAACTAAGATCCGGAAGAAACTGTCTCCTTCTAGTGTCTGCACCCCTAACCCTTGCACCAGACCTGCTTTCATGGGATGTGGGGAGTGGAAGTTTTGGGGGTTTTTTGTTTTTTTAAGATTTTATTTATTTATTTGAGAGAAAGAGTGAGTGAGAGAGAGAGCACGAGCAGGGGGAACGGCAGGCAGAGGGAGAAGCAGACTCCACCCTGAGCAGGGAGCCCGATGCGGGGCTGGATCCCAGGACCCTGTGATCATGACCTGAGCCAAAGGCAGATGCTTAACTGATTTAGCCACCCAGGTGCCCCGGAGTGGAAGTTTTTGAAGACACCCAGAAAGACATAGGGATTTGAATTTTTTGTTCAGGGAGAAGAGCAAGAACCAGTTATCACAGACATCCATATTCCTAGGTTCAGTCAAGGATTACCTACCCACTGACAGGAGATCATGTATGACCTTGATAGCCTATGGTTAGCTTTTCAGAGCTTTTCACTTTGCTTTTCATTTTTCACAGTTAGGAAACTGTTATCTAGCCCCATGTGGTTTCTGGGTCACTCTCAGAGTTCTATAAAGTCAGTTCAGTTCCTAGGTTCAAGTTCAGGGTAGATAAGGTGCACAGAAACACAGAGAAGGAACCAAATAAAACTACCAACAAAATAGAAGTTTGGCAATTTTCAAATCTTGTTGCATAACTCCTTGCTTGGGAAGAAAGGCTCAAAAATCAACAAAAGGAGGAAAAACAGGACGTTAAAAAGCACTTTTATTATGTTTTTAGAAGTTTACTGCCAGACTATTTCTGCCAAAAAATAACATGCCTCCTCCCTACAATCTACACAATTTGGGGTTTGCTAGGAATTTTGCGGGATTTTTTTTGGAATAAAACCTAAGTTCCCACTGAGTTCATTGTCAAAAAGAATGTCCCAGAAATGAACACGCATATGGGGAATGAGCCTCCTGGATGGAAACAGCGGCCTTGAAGCCCCCACTCTGAGTGACACATCCCATGAAGCTTTGGTCCAGAGACTTACACCTACAACAGAGCCTTTTCGTCGCACACACAGTGCTGGTGGGTCTCCTGCTGAAGGTCTCTGTCCCATGGGCTGGGGATGCAGAATAACACCAGATCATGAAGATGGGGGAAAGGCCCGGAACTGGGAGCCAAACAAAGCTGGACTCCAATCCCAGACTCCCCAGCTCCTAGTGGCGTGACTCTCTGAGCCTCCATTTCCTCATCTGTGAAATGAGCACTAAAATACCATCGGCAGGATTGTCGTGAGGCTTCAATGAGGTGTCGTCTGCCCATTGCTCAGCACGGTGTCTGGGAGGATCAGCGTTAGCCCTGCCCCCTGGGGGAAGACCAGGTGGAGCCAATGGCTGTCAGGAGCAGAGAGGAAAGAAGCAAGACTGAGTGCCGAGCAGAGTGGTTGGGAGAGCCTGGAGGGTCCGGCAGGGAGAGAAAGGCAAAGTCCTGGGCCCCACCCGTACCTACCAACTCGCCCATTCTGAGGATGAGGCCCCCCGTCTGTGTCCTAACAAGTCTTCCAGGTGATTCTGGTGCGTGCCGGCAACATTTGAAAACCGTTGGTCTTGGCCTTGAGGGGAGTGAACTGGACTGAGAAAACCTCAGGAGAAAAGCTAAATTCCTCACCCAGATTAGCAAAGTATTCCCCAGGCCGAGGGATGAAGGGAGACAGCCCGGAGGTAGGTGATGAGAGAGAGAGGTGGGGTGGGCCCCCAGGAGAAAACTGCATCTGAGTAAGCCCTATACTTTGCCCGGGCCAAGGGGCTGTGCTACTTGCCTTCCGGCAGGTGTCTGCTGACAAGTTATACTCGACAGCAACCAGGCTTTCTCCACTGCCTGCCTGACGGGCAGGAGAAATCGTTGGCTTTCTGTCCTCCCTGTACCATACGCATAACCCCTCCTTGCGCTTTCTTGAATGTCCATCAGCCTTTGCGAAGGGGGTGGGGCCCTGGGCGGCTGGCGGCGGCGGGAGACGGTGCGGAGGGAGAGTAAGCCCCGCCCTTGATCTTGAGTGCCGCTGAGGGGAACCAGCGCAAGATTACTCCTGAGCGAGAGCAAGAATAACACCCCAGGGGCGCCTGGGTGGCTCAGTTGGTTAAGCGACTGCCTTCGGCTCAGGTCATGATTCTGGAGTCCCTGGATCGAGTCCCGCATCGGGCTCCCTGCTC